TTGCCAAAAACAACCCGGTTGCTAATTCGTTTACCATGTTTTTATCTAATGGCAAAGTCTGCACTCGTACTTTTATCGCGGCTTGTTATAGGTTGTGTTAATTTACAACCATATTTTTCACAATGGATACTCGATTTTGGGATGGACTATACCGATCATCAATCGCTATGGTTATGTTTAAAGGCATTATCTGCCGTATACGTGATGAAGGCTTTCCACTCGAGCCTTGAAAATCGAAGGTATTCCTTTCGTAATCGATGATTGAAGTTTTAGTCGAATTGGTTCAATGATCAACAATACGCCGGGATTTCGTGGACTCGTGCTAATTTGATTCAATTCATTGCACCACAGTTTGCCGGGGAGAGAGCAAAGTACCACCCTTTATGAATATGCGTTATTATTTCATTATTTTTGTAATGTTTCTCCGAGTCGTCCAAACACAGATTTGCTCATCATTGCAATTCTCGAAGTTCTTGACATTTTTTTCCTTGAGCTGCTATATCTTCATCCACGTGGTATTCAATACAGGCTCATACCAACTAGCATTGTCGGCATAGCAGGAATTAGTAAGTCAGCAAAAATTTCGTTTTTTCGTCTTATTTTATTTTTTTTTAAATTGTTATCAATCATTTTCCAATTACAGTTCACTATGCGTATGCATTATTAATCAAATCCGACACATATCCTATACTCCAAAGTTTTGCACGATTTCCGGAATTAGCTTTGATTGTCATTATTTTTATATGCGTGGTCCTTCATATAATTGCTTATGTCGTAACAGGCGGAAATGTCCGCCGAACCTTTTTCTTGGACGCTAGATCTATGCCATCACTTCATGAAGACTATACCATGGCACTTTACAGAATTGGTACTATTGTTATAGAAACGAGTCGTGTTGATGGTTTTCGCAACGAATTGCCGCCAATAGCGGTCCCCTTAGGCACTATATTTGAACGTTCAAAAAAGAAGAAACAACGATTATCAGTAGATAACGCAAACAAGAGGAGACCAACTTGTGGATTCGATAATGAACAACAGGATACTAGTGATTTGACAGTTACTGAATCTAATGGAGGACCACGTCGTGTGGTAGTCTGGTCAAATTTTATTCTTCAGATTGTTCAAGTGTTTATTGAAGTTATTCTACGAGTTTTCTACTGGTTAAGATCCTTATTTTATACTGGGAATCAACCTGTATCAAATAATATCAGTGCAACATCACAAAATGATAATAACAACGATCTTGTGGAAGATATTGATTTTGACGAAGAAATTTATCAAAGGTTTCTTCGCGAAGATCTGGACGACCGGGATGACGAAGAAGATGATGACTTTACATGGAACAGCACTTCTTCACAAGTTGCAAATGATGATTCTTGTGAAGATAATGATTC